AGTCCTGAGAGCTTACAGAGAGAAAAGGATTTCTCCCAAAGAGAAGGAACCAGCATGGCCTCACACGTCTTGTCAAGGGATGTGAGAAGGCTATACGCTGACATTTTCAGGCATGCAAGGAGTCAAAAAATATGCTTCTCACATACCCTTTATTAGGAAGATCCAAAGAGATATGCTTCAGCAGGTACCATGCAAAGCAAAGTATGTGACCCAGGAAAATGAAATACAGCTTAGTCTGTGAGCAAACAGAAGTCTCAGGTTCACAGTACAGATGATCCTTGACTTATTATAGGGCAACTATCCAATAGACCCACCACAGACAAAAGAAAATATACTTAGTAAACCTAATTGCACATCACAGGTTGGCCCAGCCTACTTTACGCACACTCAGAACATAAAACGGTTGGGTAAAATCATCTAATACAAAGCCTATTTTATAATGAAGAACAGAATAACTCATGTTATTTATTCAGTACTATACTGAAAGTGAAAAATAGAATAGAAAGTCAAATCACTGTAAGTCACAGACTATCTATAAATCTTCCTACACTGGAATAAGCGGCAGTAAATTGTTTAATAGCCCAATATGTGAAATAGGACATAAATTAAAAACCTGATTATAGTTAACAATTTTCCTTCACCAGAATGAGGACTTTTAAAAATTATTTTATTTAAAAATATTATTTAACATGTAGTGTTTGTATACTTAATGGCGTATAGCACAATATTTCAACACACACACACACACACATACACACACACAGTATAAACTGATCACACCAGGAGATGAACTTTTCCATTTTTTTAATCTTTTCTCTCTGTGTGTGCAGCCTCCCAGCTCCTCTCTCCCAGCTTCTTCTTCTTCTTTTTTTTTTTTTTAAGATTTATTTATTTGGAAGAGTTACAGAGAGAGAGAGAGAGAAGGATAATCAAAGAGAGAAACATCTTCCATCCGTGTTTACTCTCCAAATGCCTGCAACAGCCGGGCTTAGCCAGGCTGCTGTCAGGAGGTTCTTTGGGTTCTCCTACATGGGTGGCAAGCACCCATGGACCTGAGCCACCTTCCACTGCTTTCCCAGGTGCATTAGCAGGGAATCAGATCGGAAGTGGAGCAGCTGGGACTTGAACCCGGCAACCACAGTGGATGTATGCACTACAGAAGCTAGCTAAACCCACTGGGCTGTAGTGCCAGCTCCTCCAGTTGTTTTTATTCTAATTTAACTTTATTTGTATTTACTTACTCATCTTTTTACAGATTTTATTCATTTATTTGAAAGGCAGAGTTACAGAGAGAGAAGAGACAGATTGATCTTCCATCCACTGGTTCACTCCCCAATGGTTCCAATGGCTAGGGTTGGGCCAGGCCAAAGCCAAAAGCCAGGAGTTTCTTCTGGGTCTTGCACATGGGTGGGAGGGACCCAAGGACCCAAGTACTTAGGCCATCTGTTCCTGGTTTCCCAGGCATATTAGCAGGGAGCTGGGTTGAAAGTAGAGCAGCTGGGACTCGAACCAGAGTCCATATGGGACGCTGGGGTCACAGGCAGCAGGTTAACTGGCTGTATCACAATGCCATCCCCTCTCCTCCAGTTCTGTATCCAGCATATAATACATTTTTGTGGATTATAGTCTCCCCACAGTGCTGTGAAACACCAGAACTCATTACTGGGACTATTTCGGTACCCATTATCCAACCTTCCTCTTTCCCTTACCTCCCATCCTTACTGTTCTCCAGCAATCACTATTCCATGTTCAGATGAGCTATTTTTAACTTTCACACTTGAGAGTCAAAGTACAGTATCTGCCTTTCTGTGTCTGGCTTATTTCATTTAATGTAACAATCTCCAATTCCATCCATTTTGTTATAAAAGTCAAGATTTCACTTTTCTATGTCTAAATGATATTATGCCATGTACCTATACCACATCTTCTTTATCCATTCATCCACTGATGCACAACTAGGTTGATTCCCTATCTTCGGCTCTTGAGAACAGAGCTGCTGGGTGGGAGTTAAGGAATCTCTTTCATAGACTGATTTCATTTCCTTCACATACATACCCAGAAGGGAGACAGCTGGGTCATACAGCATATGCATTCATTGCTTAAGAGCTGATTTTTATCCCTGTGAAGCTTAAAGTACTAAGCTATGCTAATAACTCAGCCTGCATTTTCCTCTTCTGAAAACAAAAAATTGAGCTTTCCTGCTGTATCATCTCCCATGTTAGTAAAATTCCTACTGGTGGAAGTGTTTATATTCTCAGAAGCCTCTAATGAATTCTGATACTGAATTATTGCCACCTCTTCACTGACCTATTGAGGACTCCACAATACAAGGCCACTGTGCTGCGATTCACTTTCAGTCATTAAACTCGCCTGGTAATTATGTCCACTGTACTTCTCATAGCCTGCTCTTTTTGGGGAGTTAAGGAAGGACCAGGATGCTAGAGAATTCAGCTGGAAGAGCTGAATTAACTAACTGAATCACCCACACCCACTGCAGAGTATGTGACCTTCATGCAACCAAATCCGTGTGTGTGTGTGTGTGTGTGTGTGTATTATATATATATATATATATACATTTATTACAAAAGTAATATATATTCATGAGACCCAAAATTAAAAAGGAAACCTAATCATTCATAATCCCAACACCCTGACAGAAGCACTGTGAATACTTGGGGATGTTTCTTTACAGAACTGCTTACGCAGGGATTCACAGCAGACTCATAGAATGGCAGATGCCCTAAATAGCACTCTGGCCTCAGAATCAGCCCTTAAGACATTCAGATCTGGCTAAAAAGCCCATGAGAGTATTTCAGGCATGGAAAGCCAAGACACTCTAGCAAACAAACAAAAAAATGACCTAAATGAAAGATCTCTGTGAGTGAGATCCCAGTGGAAAGAACAGGCCATCAAAGAAGGAGGTACCTTTCTCTGAAGGGAGGAGAGAACTTCCACTTTGACTATGGCCTTTTCTAAATAAGATTGGAGTTGGTGAACAAGAGGCTTCCATAGCCTTGGTAGCTCATGACAAGAGCCTCAGGTGATTACTGACATCATAAATAAAAATGTCAATTGTTAAATCAACAACGGGAGTCACTGTGCACCTACTCCCCATGTAAGATCTCTGTGTGTTGTACTAAGTGAATTAATGGTAAGACTACTACTCAAATAGTACTTTATACTTTGTGTATCTGTGTGGGTGCAGTCTGTTGAAATCTTTACTTAGTAAATACTAAGTTGATCTTCTGTATATAAAGATAATTGAAAATGAATCTTGATGAAGAATGGGGAGGGAGAGGGAGCGGGAGATGGGATGGTTGCAGGTGGGAGGGAGGTTATGGGAGAAAAAGCTGCTATAATCCAAAAGTTGTACTTTGGAAATTTATATTTATTAAATAAAAGTTAAAAAATAAAAAAAGAACTGCTTATGTATCTGTTCTGTAGGAAAAAGCAACAGCAGATCACAGATATAATGTTAAACCTGAGTTTTTCAGCTGCCCATGTTAATATCCTTCTAAAATACTTAATTTTAACATCATGTAGACATAATAATCTACTTTACCCATCAGCTATTATGGTTGTTCCAGATGTTAAATATTATAAACAGCACTGTTACATTTTCCATGAGGCTTTTATCTTTGCAAATTCCTTCTGGTTATTCCCTTCACATCAATTCTTAGGACTGAAATTCTTGAATAAGAGGATAAACAAAAATCTAAGATTTTGATGCTTATCACCAAACTGTTCTTTGGAAAGGCTGAGATACTTTACATAATCCCTCCGTACATAATCCATAAGAGATAATTCACTTTTCATACACCAAAACCAAAGCAATTTTTTTCAAATCTGAATGTGACTTATAAAAGTAACATTTTTAATTCTATATTTCTTTGATTATCAGTCTAGATTCTCTCTTAAAATACTTTTTTAGTTCTAAAATACTCTATTTTATGACATATTACTACCAAGTATATTTAAGAACATGCACTTGAATAAAGGCATCATATAAATTTTTCCAAAAGGTTCAATCATTATATAACCTTAAAAATAATGAATTGATATTTTTATTTTATAAAAATATCACATTTGTACAATTTCCATGTTATTTTATAATTTATAAATCACTGAGGATGTGTTTTTTTATTATTGAATAGCATAAACTTAGATTCCTACAGTTTAGGACTGCGATTCAGTTCTACCACTGCCAATGATAAATACAAGAAGTCATTTAATCTTTCTGAGGCTCTCCCTCATCCACACAATAGTGGTAACATCCATCTCCAACACTGCAATTACTAGAAATGTCACAATATGTGAGGGCAGTGTTACCTTGTAAAATGCAACGTATATCTAGTGTCTTGCTGTCAGGATAACTATTACTATTCCTACTAGACATTCTGAACAATCCCATGAAGTAAGCAGAGTGGCTGTTGTTCTGATTTGACAGTGACATTAATGATGTAGCTTGAGACAGAGATGAGGCCTCCTGCTCCTAATCTGGACCATGACACTTCTCAATCACCTGAGACTCACACTCTGAACCCATCTTCCTGAGACCCCTGCTCACTGTACAAGAGGTATCTGGTATTTAATACTCCAACTCTAATTTCTCTATGCCTTCATTTACCCACTTATCTTTCCTTGTTCTATGTTAATATACAGGCTTTTCTGCTAGAAAGACTATACCTAACACATTTCACCAAAAAAAATTACTTTTTACCTTTTAAGAAATGAGCATACTACTGGAGAATGACATACTGCATTTTCTTCTGAACATATTATCAATGTGCTATATCTACATTTTTATCCAAATACACACTTAAAATACTAAAAATCCACTCAGAAATGCCTTAGTCAAATTAAAGGGGAAACCCGAATAAAAGCTGACTTATAAAGATGCACAGTCACTTATTTTGCATACTTCTATGATTTTATTAAGGTTACCATCCAAAATATCTTGTAACAAAAGACAAACCCAAACCACAAAAGAGAATACTTACTTTTATTCGGTGATCATCGGTATCTGCAACAGTAGCTACTCTAATAAACATGGGGTTTCTTTTGTCTACAACCTCAAGCTTCATTTTTTTCTGGAATCCATGTGGAGGTTTCTGTGATAACAGAAAATGTTCACAGTGAGATTCAGAGGAAGAGAAGGTGGACTCAGTGCTACCAAAGAGGAGGGGCAGCAGATGAGCTCTTTGGAGAATGAGCCCTACAGACTCAAGTTCCTAGAGTGGTCCTCGACCTCACCTTTCCCATCCAAAGACACAATCCCAACACACCTGTGTAAGCAAGAGAAACGGCCTGAGAACCTAGCCTAGGAGCACATCAAGGCTGAAGCCTGAACACTACAGATATTTGGTGAGCCACAGCAAAGACAAGACAGCATTCGCAACTGTTGGAATAGCACTGGCCAAAACCAGCAAGTATGAAATTTATGGAGAAAGAGGAAGAATTTTTAAAAAGTGGCTCTTGGGGCCAGCACTTAGTGGCCTAAGCCTTTGCCCAAGGCATTGGCATCCCATATAGGTGTTGGTTCCCGTCCTGGCTGCTCCTCTTCCAATGCAGCCCACTGCTGATGGCCTGAGAAAGCAGTGGAAGGTGGCCCAAATGCTTGGGTCCCTGCACCCCCGTGGGAAACAAGGAAGAAGCTCTTGGCTCCTGGCTTCGGATCGGCTCAGCCTCAGCCATTGCAGCCATTTTGGGAGTGAACTAGAGGATGGAAGACCTTTCTGTCAGTCTCTCCCTCTCTGTCTATAACTCTACCTCTTAAATAACTAAATAAATAAATATCTTAAAAAAAAATAAAAGTGGGTCAGACAAGATACCAGGATGAGAAGGGATAATGAAGGCAAAAGGGGGAAAAGAAAAAAAAAGACAATTAGCAATCAAAATGTGTAAGATATGATAGCTCTTACAGGAACAGGAGTGAGAAAGGCAAACCGACAGCTACCTACACCTTAGTACTCAGAAAAAACCTCCAAAAATATTTCAGGCAATAAGTGGAAGGCAGGGTCACTGTCTGGTATGGTATTTGGCAAATTACTACAATTTTCTGAGCTTCAGGGGCCCCTTCTGTAAAGGGGGCATAATAAAAGTGTTCTGAAAATTAAGTGAGAATATTCTATAAAGAACACAGAATAACTGATGGAAGGCATCAAAAGCCAAATTAATCTGTTTCTTCTTTGATATGACACTAGGTTTGTAGAATTGTTCTGATCTAACTCCATCCAGTTTAAAGCAAAGGGTATTTCAGCCCTGCTCTGTCATAGACTAACTTAAAGGGCAGATAAAAATTCAAAAATAAAGCAAAATTCTAAAAGGATCTATTGAAGTATTGTTTATGGTAACACTAATCATGCCACATTTTTAAAAATTTAAGTATTGTATCTTCTCCTTTAAACTCATGGGAAAATATAAATGACAAAGCAAGCTATTTGAGATGAAAAAGTAAAAAAAAATTTCATTTCTTATTCTTGCATAGAATTGAGGTTTACTTTAATATCTCAGTATGTTATACGCAGGAAGCAATGAACTCGGGTTAGAAATATACTGAAATGAAAGCGGGTGACCTTACATTTCAGTAATTAAGTATGCTGATTTAAAGCAGTAAAATAAAAAAAAATTGTGGTTTGCCATAAACAAATCCAAGGGATTGCAAATACAATTTTCATTGGAACCTATTTTCCTATCCCGATTTGGGCTTTCCAAGTATCTAACCAGAAAAACAGAAGTCCATCATAAGGCTTCAACAACTCGCCCCACACAGTCTGGGGCCCATCAACTGTGGTATGTATACATGAGGAATACTACTCAGCTGTAAAAAAAAAATGAAATCCTGTCTTTCGCAACTAAATAGATGTAAATGGAGACCAGTCCCCAAAGACAAATATGTTTTCCTTGATTTGTGGTAACTAATACACAGAGTATAAAAAAAAACTAATATGTATGAGTGAAACTCACATTTTGAAACCTATTTATAGCCCTTGTCTATACTCTCAAGGAACAGTGGTTTTCCTACTTATTACTTACTGAATTCTTTACTTAGTGAAGGGTTAAGCTTCTGATTACAAAGTAAATTCAAAGAATGTCACTGTAAAAATTAAAAGAAAAATAAAAGAGGAGGGAGGGTGGAAACAAATATAGGTTAGGAAGTATTACTATGCTCTTAAAACCATTCATATGAAATACATGAAATCTGTTCCATATATATATTAGCTCACATAAATGAGCATTAGCCAGCCCATTTGCAATTATCTTGCAAGGAAACTCTGAAGTCCAAAGTAAAAATATATTTTAGATGCCAGCAAGAAAAATCCTAGTAGTAATTTTGACCTTCAAAATTGTAACACATCACATTTTGCCTTCTGATTTCTTCTCATTCCTTTCTGGTTTACCAATACAATCTTTTCTATTGTTCAATTTAAGTGAATAAATGATACATCTAAACACACTAATCAAATATTGCAAAATGCATATCTTACCACTTTGAAAGCTCTTGCAGGAGCAGGTAAAGAATTGGTTTCTTCTAAATACTTATCCCAAGAAAAATGTTTCACATTTGGGTAACCTAAGGAAGAAAAGAAAAATTCAAATTCTCTTAAATTTAGCCAAAATAATACTGAGAATAGTGAACTGTTTTATAAATATTATGAAATACTATCAATATTAATATTTATATTGAGATCATGTTACCAATATAACCTAGGAAATTGTGTTTATATACACATAACTTTATACTAGTCACTCATTCAGAACTATTTGTAATAATCAGTTTGCTGTCACCTTAATCATGATTTAGTATTTTTTAAATAAAAATGTTATACATACTGCTGTATGTGTATGTATAATTTATATTGTCAGGTAAGGATAGTCATACACATAAGAAAGATATCACAAATACCCTTTAATCTAGCAATTTTATTTTTACCTACTGAAGAAAATGAAATATGTGTGGGTATATGATTATTTACATAATCATAGTTGTTTCTAAATGTGAAAATGTAAAAACAAGTTAATTGATCCTCAATACAGAAACATACAAAAAAGTAAAGTACATTTGAAACAGAATGCACTCATTAAAAAGAACGTGGCAAATCCGTAAGTACTAATATGTGAAATATTCCAAGTGTATCTATGTATTGTGAAGTCAAAGTAACACACACAAACAATGGAACACTATCGATAGAATATTTTCTAAAATGACCCTGTCTTCCCTCTTGCCCCCTTTTCTGCTCCAGAGCCCAAGTCCATGAGGCAAGAAAAAGCAGGGGTTGGTGGTGGCCCAGGAGAGATGGAAATTTCTTACTGAAAAAACACTAAGAAAACCAGCACATGCCTTGGAGGTAATGGAAGCCAAGTTTCTCGATGAGAAGAGAGCAACACACATGAAAACAGGAAAACCAGAAAGAAGCCAAAGCTGTTGATTGTGAATCAGAGTTAATGTCATGGTTTTTGATGCATACAGATACAAAAATAGACAAGGAAACTATTGCATGTATTTGCACATGTTTTCTAACTATTTCCACTGAAAAGCCCAGAGCAGCAGCACCCTAGGAACAATGAGCGCACTTAGCCTCCAGATCCATCCTTTCTAAACATCATTCTCTGCTAAAAGGAACCACAGATTCACGGAGAAACAGCTGGCAATGGGTGAGGCCAGGGAAACCACAAGACAAGTGCTGCTGAGCCACAAAGAGCCACAAAGCAAGACAGTCTCAAAAAGTGGTTTCTATGTCAAAAGGACACAGGAATCAGCTAGGAGGGGCTCCCACTGGCTAAAACCGGGGGGAATCTGGATGAAACAACAAATTATAACTCACTAATAAAAACAGCAATCTAGGGGACATCCTGATACACTTAAGACATAAGAAATTGAGAAAGTTATTCTTTGCAGAAGAATATCAACTAATTATGAGCAAGGGATGATGAAGTAAGAAAAATTATCATTTGTCAGAATGATAATCCATACTAGAAATATCAATACATGTTAAAACTAGCAAATAACAATGAGATCAGAAACAATACTTATACAGTCTCAAAACATCTCTCCAGAAATACTTATGAATTACAGAGAAAAACAACTGCATTAGTAGATTGCAAATATCATCTTGCGCAATTAATGGTAAACAAGAACCAGTGACAGACTGACATCATGTACCACCTAAGAGGAAGCAATGAGAACACACAACTTTGTCTGTGATATTTCTGCCAAAAATGCACAACCTGTTTCTAAGCATGAGGCAATACCAACCAAACTCAAATCAAGTCACGTTCTATAAAATGACTAATCTGTCCCCAAACATAGGAAGTCATATAAAGAGAGCCTAATGGAAGGAGGCTGGAGGGATCTGACACTTGAATGCAATGTCTGATCCTTTTGCCATAAATGACATCATTCAAACAAATTGACAAACTTGAATATGTCTCTGGATCAAGGGTATAGAAAGGTTCTGCACTCTTCTTGTAACTGTCCTGTACATCTGAAATTGTACCAAATTTAAAAATAAATTTCCAAAGATATATCTGCTTGTTTTCATTCAACAACATACTTGTAAGGCACCTATCTCCCATAAATTAAGAAATTTAAATCAGGGGCTGGCATTTTGGCATTAATGGGTTAAGCCAGTGCTGCAGCCCCATAAGGGTGCTGGTTTGAGTCCTGGTTGCTCTACTTCAGCTCCAGCTCTCAGCTAATGCACTTGGAAAAGCAGCAGAGGATGGTCCAAGTCCTTGGGCCCTTGTACCCATGTGGGAGACCCAAATGAATCTCCTGGCTCCTGGTTTTGGCTTGGCCTAACCCTGGCCATTGCAGCCATTTGGAGAGTGAATCAGTGGATGGAAAATCAATCAATCTCTCTCTTTCTCTCTCTCTCTAACTTTGACTTTCAAATAAATAAATCTTTAAAAATAAAAAAATTTTAAATCAGAACATTCACAATAAAAGTGATATGTATGCATATATATGTGTTTCACCATTACAGATAGGAAACAAGCTTTTTTGGAGAGATACAATTAGCTACTAAACTGTCAAGAGGGTGGCTGGCATAGTAGCATAGCTGGTAAAGCTACCGCCTGTAATGTCAGAATCCCACACGGGTGCCGATTCAAGTCTTTGCTGTTCTACTTCTCATCCACCTCCCTGCTAATGGCCTGGGAAAAGCGGCAGAAGATGGCCCAAGTGCTCAGGCCAATTGTCACCCACATGGGAGACTTGGATGAAGCTTCTGGTTCCTGTCTTTGGCCTGACTCAGCCCTGGCTATTTCAGCCACTTTAGGAGTGAACAAGCAGATAGAAAATTAATCTCTGTCTCTCTCAACTCTGCCTTTCAAATAAATAAATAAATCTTTTTTAAAAAAATTAAGAGATAATTGCAATTAGCTCTATTTTCCCTGTAAACTTGAGTGGGTATTAATGTGTAACATACATAATTTAAAATAAAAATAATTTTAAAATGCAAAGATTTTAATTTTGGAAGAGCAATAAACACAGGCTACATGAATAGAGAAGGGGAGGCCAGCAGGGCTGGTTAGGGAGGTAAATTCATCCATGAAGCAGCAGGGGTAATACAAGAGCAGCCACAGGGGAACTGCGGGATCAGGATCCTCCCCACCACAGGAGATCAGAGACCGGGCCAGCAACCTGCCTTAAATAACAGGGACCTGAGAAACTGCCGTTTTTTTCCCTCAAGGACCAAAGAGTAACACTGGTACATGCCCAAAAAGCCAGTCTCTCTATTTGGCCGGTTGTTAAAGTTTATGTGCACATTCCTTCACTGTGTTAAGATATATATAAAATAAACTTGACTATTCTAATCATTTTGAGGTGTATAATCCTATTGTTTAATGGTTCATTATTTATTTACCAGATCTCTGAATGGAATCAAAAAGAGTCAAGTTTAAAGAAAGGATTGACAAATGGACAGCTATGCAATCACCAGCCACTAAGATTTTATCAACCACAGGACATAAGAAGGCTAGAATGGGGGCCGGTGTTGTGGTGTAGCAGGCAAAGCTGCCACCTGTGATGCCACCATCCCATCTGGGCACCAGTTCAAGACCTAGATGCTCTACTTCTGATCCAGGTCCCAGCCCTGGCTGTTTCAGCCATTTGAGGAGGGGACCACCAGATGGAAGATCTCTCTCTCTCTCTCTTTCTCTCCCTTTTTCTGCCCTCTCTGTGACTCTGTCTTTCAAGTAAATAAATAAATCTTAAGAGAGAGAGAGAAGGAGAGAGAGGGGGAGAAAGAGAGGGAGAGAGAGAGAACACTAAAATGAGAATCTTCCAGGTGGCATCCCATTTGGGCCATGGAACCATTCATATCTTGCTACAGAATCTGTTCTTTAGCATATGAACTAAAAAGAAATCCTCAAAATGACATAAAACAAGGACACTATTTGTCAGCAGTTACACTGTTCCCTGCCTGAGAGAAAGTTAATAAGTCGAGAAGCCTATGTAGCCAGTCAGGCAGCACAAGTACCTAAAAACTGTAGAGAACAGAGACACACCACTAATTATACAGATGCAAAATCTACTCTGTAACTAGGAACCTCAATAGAAAGAGGAAATGCAAATGAGCAAGTTCTAAGCTAAATAAAAAATCTAAAGTACCAAGTTCTCACTTAAATATGAACCCCATTCTTCTATCGAAACAGATCCTGACATATATAGTCCATGCTCCATCCACAAATGCTGTGTCACCCATATCCATGCTTCTGCATTTGTCCAACCATAGACAATCCAATTCTATGTTAGATAATATGTTTACACGAACACCATAATGAAATGTGTATTAAAATAAATCTGGAAATTTCAAGTGGAGAAATGAAAGATATTTTAAAATCGAACTTACTTTTGCAAAAAAAGACCAAAGTTGAGACTGTGGTAGGGAGTAAGCCGAAGTCTTTATACTTGAAGTCACATCAAGGGACAGCAAATTAACACCTACAGAGCAGCTACCTGTTTTTCTGATAGTGTTACTGCAACATAACTATATTCAGTTGCTCAGGTATTGTCTATAGCTGCTTTTGCACCACAAAGCAAAACCTAAAATATCTACTATCTGACCCATAACAGATAAAGTCTGCATATTGCTGAAGCAACAAATAATATTAGACATACAACAAACACAAACCTGGTGGAGTGATAAGGGTTCGTCTATGTTCTTTACACCAACCAACTGGATGAATGTGTGGACTAGATGCTTCACACCTGCAGGTGAAACAAATTAAAAACTGTAGTGATCAGGATAGACACAATTACTAGGAAAAGTTTTTTTAAAAAAAAGTTATTTAGAGACTTCCACAGAATTCCATTTACTATGATTTATTCTGGGGGAAAAATTGCTAAACCAAAGGATCTTTCACTCTTCCAATATGTTAATATCAAGTAGATTTCTATTAGATTTAGCTAAGAATCATATTCATTTGACACTATGCAGTTTTCTTTCTTTTTTTTTTTTTTTTTTTTTTTGGACAGGCAGAGTGGACAGTGAGAGAGAGACAGAGAGAAAGGTCTTCCTTTGCCATTGGTTCACCCTCCAATGGCCGCCGCGGCCAGCGCGCTGCGGCCGGCGCACCGCGCTGATCCGATGCCAGGAGCCAGGAGCCAGGTGCTTTTCCTGGTCTCCCATGGGGTGCAGGGCCCAAGCACCTGGGCCATCCTCCACTGCACTCCCTGGCCACGGCAGAGGGCTGGCCTGGAAGAGGGGCAACCGGGACAGAATCCGGCGCCCCGACCGGGACTAGAACCCGGTGTGCCGGCGCCGCAAGGCGGAGGATTAGCCTAGTGAGCCGCGGCGCCGGCTACTATGCAGTTTTCTTTCTGCTATAAATTTTGTTGTACTCTGTACTTTCAAAAAAGGAAAAGTTAAAAGACAACATCACTAAAATTCAAAATATCAGTTGATAAAGGTCATGTGGAAAAAAAGATTGTATATACAGAAAGTTAAATTATTTCAGTATCTCTGAAAGCAAATACAAAAAGAAGCTCCATCACTCAAAACCAACATGCGATTCCTATTACCCATTAGAATGGCAGAGAACAGGAACAGGAACTGAGACAAAGTCTCTCTTTCCTTCACCTCTCTCTCTTTTTTTTTTTTTTTTACAGGCAGAGTGGACAGTGAGAGAGAGAGACAGAGAGAAAGGTCTTCCTTTGGCCGTTGGTTCACCCTCCAATGGCCGCCACAGCCAGCGCACTGCGCTGATCCAATGGCAGGAGCCAGGTACTTATCCTGGTCTCCCATGGGGTGCAGGGCCCAAGGACCTGGGCCATCCTCCACTGCACTTCCTGGCCACAGCAGAGAGCTGGCCTGGTATAGGGGCAACCGGGACAGAATCCGGCGCCCCGACTGGGACTAGAACCCGGTGTGCCAGCGCCGCAAGGCGGAGGATTAGCCTAGTGAGCCGCGGCGCTGGCCTTTTCTTCACCTCTTTCTTCTCCTCCTGTCATCTTTACTGTAGTCAAGCAAGTATTTTTTTCAAAGGCCCTTAATCAATATGCACCTCTGGTACATCTGCTTCTTTGGTCCTTAAAACCACACTTGTTTTATGTCTTCCTCATCTCAACATGTGAAATGTTCCATCCGTTCATTAGCTTACTCATTCATTCAAACATTGAGTGCTTATGAGGTACTTGGATGGCCCTGATGACATGGCTGCAAATAAGACAAATATAAGCTCCTTAAGGCATAAGTGACACTATGTATAGTGGGAAGACACAAGAGATAAACACATAAAATACAGACTCTGGTAACACAATGCTATGCACACAAATGACGAGAAGGAAAGGCATGGAGTAGGACAATGCAAAAGCTCTCCTGTACTTGTCCAGGCAACCGGCAGATAAGGCAACATTTGAGCAAAGACCTGAAAGAACTGAAGACAGAACCCCATCCACTCAACAATATGAAAGGAAACCATCCCAGGCAGAGGGGACACATCCAGGCAGAAACCGTGGAGGATGACGTCAGGAGTGGGAAGAACAACTGAAGGAAGGAGAGCAGGAAATGAGGTCAGAAAGGGCCTTGAGCCCATGGTGAAGTCTTGGGATGTTCTCAGGGAGAAGGGGACATCACCGTGAAGCGTTTCAGGCAGAGGAGCTACATAACCTGATTACACCTTAAAGTAACTTCTCTGTTATACAGACGAAATGACCTCGGGAGCAAGAGGACAGGTGGTCAGAGGCGACTGCCAGAGCTGATGATGGTGGCTGGTCAGAGTGAGCCATGAAGTTAACAATAAGCGACTGTTTCAGAAAGACATTTTAAGAGTAAATGACCAGACACTGGAACCCAGAGGATTTGCTGATAGATTTTACATCAGGTGGGAGCGAAGTGAAGCAGTCAAGAAGTTACAAGGGTTGGCACATGGACCAGCAGGAGACTGTGGCTGCCGTCTTTCGAGGTGGGAAAGATGGCAAACACAGTCTGACATTCCAAGTGAGTGAATGGCCCTGCTATTGATGGGTCTAACAGGTAAAGATGCCAAAGAGACAATGAGCCAAAATCTTCAGTTCAAGGGCCAAGTTCAAGGTAAAAATACAAATTTGGGAGTCATCAGCGTTTGAGATGGTACTAATGCTGTGAGTAGAGCTGAGACTGTGTAGAGTGAAGCAGAGAACAGCAGAGGTAGAAGGCAAAGTGTATAAATTTAAGAGTAGCAAAAAACAGAGACCTTTCTTAGAAACGTTCCAAGTGATGAGATTAGCAAAGAGCCACTGCCTTCCAAACCAACCCTTCCAAGGGCACAGCATAAATAGTCACATATAGTGAGTTAATGAAGCCAATAGTGCTGATTATTCTCAGAACTAACTGCAGTAGAAAATACCTTCATCTTTATAATAAATGGCTTCTTTACTCACTTGTTATCTCATATGCCCCTCATCAAACACTATTTTTCTCTCTATATTAGAGTGACATGGGCATGTGTGGAGGGGGAGGGGATATGAGATTATATGAAAGGAAAAAAAGCATGGCTAGGTCAGTGCCAAGTTCTTTTGGTAACTGCCACATTTCTTAAAATACATTTTCTCATGGAAGATATTTTAATACATAATTCCTTTTGATGCACTTTGTTATAAACTGCATAAACCAAACTTTACAGCTCTGGGTTTGATTATCTTAATTTCTTCCTAAACAATAATTTTGGTTATGGATTACTACTAAGGACTTTATTTTAGAGAATGGTATTAATTCATGAAAAAATACTAGCAGGAGAGTGAAGAGGCAACCGACAGAATGGGAAAAAATATTCGCAAACTATGCTACAGATAAAGGATTAATAACCAGAATCTACAAAGAGATCAAGAAACTCCACAAAAACAAAACAAAACAACCCACTTAAGAGATAGGCCAAGGACCTCAATAGACATTTTTCAAAAGAGGAAATCCAAATGGTCAACAGACACATGAAAAAATGTTCAAGATCACTAGCAATAAGGGAAATGCAAATCAAAACCACAATAAGGTTCCACCTCACCCCGGTTAGAATGGCTCACATTCAAAAATCTACCAACAACAGATGCTAGTGAGGATGTGGGGGAAAAGGGACACTAACCCACTGTTGGTGGGAATGCAAACTGGTCAAGCCACTATGGAAGTCAGTCTGGAGATTCCTCAGAAACCTGAAGATAACCCTACCATTCAACCCAGCCATCCCACTCCTTGGAATTTACCCAAAGGAAATTAAATTGGGAAACAAAAAAACGGTCTGTACCTTAATGTTTATTGCAGCACAATTCACAATAGCTAAGACCTGGAACCAACCTAAATGCCCATCAACGGTAGACTGGATAAAGAAATTATGGGATATGTACTCTATAGAATACTATACAGCAGTAAAAAACAATGAAATCAGGTCATTTGCAACAAAATGGAGGAATCTGGAAAACATTATGCTGAGTGAAATAAGCCAGTCCCAAAGGGACAAATATCATATATTCTCCCTGATCGGTGACAACTAACCGAGCACCAAAAAGGAAACCTGTTAAAGTGAAATGTACACTATGAGAAACAGTGACTTGATCAGCCCTTGTCCTGATTGTTGATGAACAAGTTAATATGTTATCCCTCTTAGTATTTTTTGTTTGTTTGTTCTACTTAATACTTTTGGTTGAATTCTGCAATTAATACACAGTCATTCTTAAGTGTTGAAACTTAACTGAAAAGTGATCCCTGTTAAATATAAGAGTGGGAATAAGAGAGGGAAGAGATGTGCAATTCGGGACATGCTCAAGCTGACTTGCCCCAAACGGTAGAGTTAGAAACATACCAGGGGATTCCAATTCAATCCCATCAAGGTGGCATGTACCAATGCCATCTCACTAGTCCAAGTGATCAATTTCAGTTCACAATTGATCATAATGATAGGACTAAGAGACAAAGGGATCACATAAACAAGAATAGTGTCTGCAAATACTAGCTGATAGAATAAAAAAGGGAGAGAATGGTCCAACATGGGAAGTGGGATACACAGCAGAATCACAGAATGGCAGATGTCCTAAACAGCACTTTGGCCTCAAAATCAGCCCTTAAGGCATGCGGATCTGGCTGAAAAGCCCATGAGAGTATTTCAGGCATGGAAAGCCAAGACACTCTGGCAAAAAAACAACAGCAACAACAACAACAACAACAAACAAACCAACTTAAATGAAAGATCTCCGCGAGTGAGATCCCAGTGAAAAGAACAGATCATCAAAGGAGGAGGTACCTTTCTCTGAAGCGAGGAGAGAACTTCCACTTCGACTACGACCTTGTCTAAGTATGATCAGAGTTGGTGAACTCAAAAGGCTTCCATAGCCTTGGCAACTCCTGACAAGAGCCTAGGGTAATTACTGAGGCCATAAACAAGAGTGTCAATTTGTTAAGTCAACAACAGGAGTCACTGTGCACTTACTCCTCATGTAGGATCTCTGTCCTCAATGTGCTGTACATTGTGATTTAATGCTATAACTAGTACTCAAACAGTATTTTTCACTTTGTGTTTCTATGTGGGTGCAAACTGTTGAAATCTTTACTTAATATATGCTAAACTGATCTTCTGTATATAAAGAGAAACGAAAATGAATCTTGATGTGAATGGAAGGGGAGAGGGAGTGGGAAAGGGGAGGGTTGCGGGTGGGAGGGACGTTATGGGGGGGAAGCCATTGTAATCCATAAGCTGTACTTTGGAAATTTATATTCATTAAATAATAGTTAAAAAAAAAGAAAA